GCAATTAACTCCGCGACTATCGGTTTAGAAACATTAACAATTCTATTTAAGATACAAACATTTGGTCAGTTCATCTGCCTTTCTTAACTTTTGTTGCAACTAATGGTACAAACTTACTTCTGATAGCTATTTGCTCATTTTAGACTACGCGTTCTTGTCTCAAGTTGTGTAGTTTTTAACCTCCAGGACTGAGATGGAAGCTTCTGTCAATGAAATGTTTGAGAAATATACCGTGGATGAGATACGACTTATCTGTATGGAAATGAGGTTGGGTCGATCTTCCTTCTCTAAGAGATAGTTCAGAAACGACATTGAAAGCAAAAAGATGGAACTCCGCTTTCTAGTTGGTGAACGTCACCGCGATGTCATCGAGGCTTCTGATAACATTCTCCACATGAATGAATTCAGTCATAGTGTATGTTATTTCTCGTGATGTGTCTGATCTGATCTTCCTTAGATAACTGAAAAACTCGAGCAATTGGAAAAGTGCTGCGCGTATGAATCCCTTGCGCTAGCAAACTCATCGTAGGTCTTTCCGGCATCTTAAATGCTTGTCATTACAGCCGTTTAAAGCATCGTCTTTCAGGAAACCCTAAGTGGCTGATTGCATCCCAGCTGAAACTTTTACTTGACATTCCCGAAATGGTAAGAATGTGCTCTATTTTGGATTAAAATACGTTATTTGTCCTTCCTCAACATTTGTTTGTTTGACTTCAGGTTTGGTCGGCTTTAGATGAGATGAATTACACTGGAGCTGTTGAGTACTTCCTTCTTGGACGCTATCTCTCAATAAAGATGCGTCTCACCGGGGAGGCCGCAGCTACCCACGTAAATCCACGTGTCTTGGTCAAACGCCAGTGGGCAGCTCTGGACGACATTGAAAACACTATAGCCTCAGCTTGTCGCAAGCAACTAGCATTTCCGACTGTTTCCGACGATGTGAGCTTGAGTCCTCTCATTGTGTATTACTTAGTAGTATTCCTTCTTTAAGGACGATTTTCCACTGCTTTGATTATTAACTAACCCATTTTTATACTGATCGCTTAGTATAAGTCTCCGGGGTTTCATTTCTCATTCTTCTCACAACAGTACCACTACCAAATAGTTATGGTTTTGAAATCTGTTGCTGAGATTTATTTGAGACAT